ACACACACACACACACACACACACACACACACCACACACAGAATTACACATGCACCCACACACAGACGCTCGAATTTACGTATATTACTCACATTTTTGAGCAAAGCGTAGCCTACATAATTTTTTACACGGAAAATGCTTCTCTCATTTCTAGAATGGTCCGATCTTATCAGATCATGCCCTGTCTTTCTGCGCCGTGTCTTTCTGAAGAAGCAGCAACATCAGCCTCATTCAGCGTGTACACACTAACATATAATTTGTCAAAAAGCAGTTGATTGCAACACTGTAGTCAAGTCAAATAATCCCTGTTCAAGATAGGACCCCCGCCCCCAATCTTTCCCTCCCTGATTTTGTTTGCAGAAGATTTATGGAACAGCTAATTCTTAATGAAAAGCTGAAACAAATTCTCATTCTAAAAATCACCCCCCCCCCAAACAAAACAAAACAAAACACAAAAAACTATGAAAAAAACTGGAACAATCGACCGTTATAAATCTTGCTCATGCTCATGACAAAGCTTACAATAATCCATTTCAAGAACTTTGCGAGAACACACCTATTGGCCGTAATATCGGATCTGAGTGTAGACACGGACGGGACACAGATCCAAAGAAACGAAGCAACTGCGGCACAAAGAGAGACTGTGGACCTTGTGTTGCGGACAGAAAATCAACTCTTGTGTTGTCACCGAAGAATCCTTTAACATGCTTTTCTCATGGCTCACCTTGTTGGCTGTAATGGCATCAGGTAGGAACAGGGATACAAATTAATAATTCTATTCATTTCCTGCTTTTGATAATTAAAGAACGCTCAGTTTTGGGCCCTTTAAAAAACATAATTTCGTTATTTATTCCGATTTCTGAGTGCTGTTTTGTTTACTTGAAACCTAGAAAGGCAGGCAACACTATGCATTCTATATAATATGCAAAATCATGTTGATAATTTGTGCATGACGGTTCAAAATGTTCCGTAACATTGCCTTTGATCTACTGCTGGTCGGAAATTTATGTCCTCTTACGTCATTGAAGAGATAATATATAAGAAATCGGAATAAATAACGAAATTATGGTTTTTAAAGGGCCCAAAACTGAGCGTTCTTTAATTATCAAAAGCAGGAAATGAATAGAATTATTAATCTGATAAGAATCACCACAAAAGCGTTCCTGACATAGCTTTGTCTGAAAAACTTGAAGTAACCATCTTTATTGAAGGAGATCGACTCCGACAGGAATCTCTCGCCTTTCATGCGATCTCATTATGCAGAAAGGGATCCAACTGTCCACCAAAACTAATAGAAAATGTTTTTTCGTCTATTTTCCTCTAAAAATAAGATCAAACGCACGAATTTTTGCTACTGTTTCCAACAATCATATAGTGATATATGGCTTAAATTTAGTCAGCTACCATTTTTTCATGTAGTCTTCCTTTACAATCTGCTAGAGGTGTCAACATCTTGATTTCTTTCCTCACGTGCTCTTCCCAGTTTGAGTATTTCGGGTGTCAAGTAAACAGTAAAAGAATGTTTCTCATTTTTAAGTGTAGGTGTTTTACGCCACCATCAACACGCTAACGTAATTTTGGAGGTGGGCTTATGGCTCTGGCCTGTCATGGCCAACCGAGGATGAGAGGAATATAACATCCCAGCAGAAAGACAGAGAAACTCGAATATAATTCCTCGCTTTCGGGAATCCAACTCGGACCTCTTTTGCGCAACGGCGAAGTGCGTGACCGCTACACCACAGATGCCCGTAATGTTACTCGGTGTAACTAACGAATTCCAAGCTCTAGAACACATTAATTAATCTGAATAATTAATTAAAAAATTGAATGAATCTACAAATGAATTCAGTGAAGATAAGCAATAATAAACATATATACGAACCAAGCAGCATTAAAACAATAAAAGAGAAGGATGCCAAAAAGAAATGTTATATGTAAATACAGAAAAAAAGAAACCATGAATAAATGATGAGGGTCAAGAAATAGAGGAGAATCAATGATAACAAATTTCAATGCTTTCCAAGATGAAAGAAGGAAGAGGGTTCTCAACCAGAATCTTGTATTAAATCAAAAGGAGGAAATATTCTGTTGAAAAATGGGGCGTTCTAAATCAGCCGCGGTTCGTCCATAGAGCACGGACATGCAGTGCCGCCCAAATTTTAAAAAAATGTTCTATTAGGTACCAAAAACAAAGACCAGTCAAATATTATATCGAAACAATCTCCTCGCTGGCGCTGTAACTGTCATGTCTGTGTCTATAACGCTGTAAAACAACTACTATGCCATACCAAGTACCAAAGTCCACGCTGGTTAACTAAACATAATACACGTAGGATATTTAACAATGGTAACCTGTTCTATAAATCGTTCTTTGGGATAACCCAAGCGATGACGACACTCGTAGCGAGCTTGGCGGTACATTAATATTAACATGACGGCACATCTCAAATGTGCACCCACGAAACATAGCCCACAGTAGGCATTCTAAAAATAAACGGGATAGACTGTACACTAGGGACCGTGCAATGTGAACTCGCTCTCTGCTGCTGCCACCACTTTCCAAAGAGGAAATTTACTCGTTAATCTGATCCGTAGGCTTTTCATGGCAGTTTGTCAAAATGATTTTTTGAGAAATACTGAACGTTTCAAAGAGATCTCCGTACTAGAAGTATTCTAAAAATTGAAGAATACATCCCCGGGGGTACAAAATAGTCCCAGGGCGTTCGGATATGGTTAACGCATGAACTGGGTGCATTCCTGTTCCTCTCCACTCTCTTTCGTTTCCAGTCTGACCCATTTCCTTGATCAGCATAAAAATGGGAGGGAAACGAATATGATACTCTTTTGTCTCCGCTCGCTTTTCCTTCGTGAACAACCGGTGTTGTCATTGACATAATAGATCTACATTGTATTGAGTTTGCTACCCTTGTGTTTAGCAATAATGGAGGATTTTCAATTACTTTTATTGTTTTGGGTGAAAAGAAGACCCTAAACAGTACTAGATACATAGTATTTATTTATTTTTTTTAACAAAGAGTTGATTTTGGAGAATATCATCATCTTCTGGATGAAGTTTTAAGGCAAGAGGAAAAATGTGTTTCCTACATTCGGATGCGACCTGAAACTCATTGGACCTCATATTGAGAAAAGAACAACAAATTTTGCACTGCAGCAATGAGCGCTTTTTTATTTGTTCAGTGACACCGAGTCTATTGTTGTAGGTTGAGAGGACAAAGACAATTCTGGTGATCTGATCACTTGCTGAGAGAGAACTGGGAGAAATTTTAGTTGCGAGATAAAACGGGTGCACTCAGTTTCCGGTGATGAAATAAGAGACACCCCCGATGATTCGGCAATTGGGAGGAAAGGTCAAGCTGGGAGCAACAGCGAACGGAGGCGAAAAGGAAGGCACTCAATTTATACATTTAAGTTACCATCCTATGAGTACTGTTGTGCCTTTGAATGGTTTTGTAGTGAAGTGGTGAAAGTTATTATTTGAGTGCTCATTTCCAATGCAAGATGAACGAAATTCATGCTTAGCTAACAAATTCAGATCTGGAAATCAAAGCGACAAGTAAAAAGAATGAAAATGAAAACATACGGTCCTCTTTCACCAACCCAAAGATCCTAAAATTATACACCATCACATTTACTATGCCCTTAACTATCTTCAGCCTGCGATAGCTTAATTGTGTACGCCCACTTTTTAGCCCCACAAGCTTCCCCTGTTCTAAATAGATGGTCAGACTACACAGAAAAGTATTTTAAGATGGCAAGGAAGAAAAATGTATAACAAATAAATACAGGTAAATAAAGGGACCATCAATTCGGAAAGAAAATGCACAGGCTGTTATTAAGAAAACGAAACAAAGAAAAGCGACGAGGCCAGATATTAGTCCAGTTGAAGTTATTATCACGTTAAAAGAATTGAGTTCTGAAATAACGAAACTCTCAAATTCTATCGGTGATAGTGTTAAGATACCAGAACATATGATACAGCCAGTCTTTACAGCGTCGTGTGAATTATGAGATGCTACGGGGTGTGAATTGCATAGAACAAAAAGCCGAATGAGTTACTTTACTTTGCTACGATTTCTGATGGAAAGAATAAGAACCAGTTTAAACTACAGTTATCTAGAACAAAAATTGGTTTTGTTCATGACAAAGAACCTGAAATTCTAAATTCGTCCTATCAAGATGACCCAAAGGCTTTAAAAAAGTTAGAATTATAAAAAACTGTGAGAAAGCTAGACACAGACAGAAGAAAGTATTGCGTATCACAACTGCATAAACATAATGGTTGTTATTATTTCTGTTTCTCCAACAGACTTTGAGCCTAGTTCCTATCGCCTAATAATTATGCTGCAGTGTGTGAAACTAAATTTTAAGCTTCACCCTTTGCTTCATAATGTGTTGTTAGAACCAGGGGTAACAAAAAAGCTTTTGATTTGTAACCAGAGATCCTACAAGTTGGAGTGGGGTAATAGCTGAGCACGGCGCGTCAGTTCTAACATTTTTGGGTTGATCCTTTTTATATGATATGAATATGATGTTGCTCTGCCCGCCTCCTGTCGCCAGCCCCTTACTTTCATCTTTTATAATACAGAATTGTTCCTTCTTGTTGGAGAGCTGGAGTCATAGTGGGCAGTAAATCATGAGGCTTTATGAAGAAGAAATGCTGAAGCCAAGAAGCCCGCAATCTGAACATTTCACTCATAAGTTGAAATGAAGCTATTAAAGTCTCAGAATGTTGCAAACTTTTCTCTGTCAGAATTGATCTACTTGGACATTTCAGAAGCCAATAATCACACAGGTCTTTATTTCACCCATTTCTTTTTGAGAATTCTCCTCCGCAGATGCACTAATTATCGTCAGACAATGGACATTGATGGACGAACACCACCACCACCACCACCACCATCACCATCATCATCATTGTTGTTGTTGTTATTATTATTATTATTATTATTATTATTATTATTATTATTATTATTATTATTATTATTATTATTATTATTATTATTATTATTATTATTATTATTATTATTATCTTTGTTTCCTCCATTTTCTGTTCAGCATCATTTAAAATAAATAACTACAGTGCATTACAATGACCTTTCCCCTTAAGGTTCCGCTATCACTCTCAATGATTGCCCTGCTGCGCTACCCAGAGACAAGTACTTGCAAGTCCACGGGGATTCCTGCTTCCGGTTCGTCTTGACCCATTACCGCTACTTCTTCGATGCGGAGAGAGACTGTGAACACGAAAAAGGCACACTAGCCTTGGTGAAGACTTTTGAGGTCCAGGAATATCTGGCAAAGGAACTGGTCAATACCTACGGTGTGCTTAAAAACACTAAGGTGTGGATTGGTCTAAACGATTTCGCTAAGGAAAACCAGTTTGTGTGGGAGGACGGAACAAAGCTCGTTCCTTCAGCATACTCAAATTGGGCACCTGATAATGGTCCTCGGGATGGTTTGATTCAACATAATTTGGAAGACTGCGTGTCAATAGACGTCACTACCCACAAATGGCACGATCATCACTGCACGGATTTCCTGTTTTTTATATACGAAAAACCGTACGTGTGCGAGTATAAGGTATCTGCCCCAGCCACGTCACCAGCAACTACAACAAGTACAACATCTGCCCCAGCCACGTCACCAGCAACTACAAGTACAACATCTGCCCCAGCCACGTCACCAGCAACTACAACAAGTACAACATCTGCCCGTTCCTCGTCACCTGCAACTACGAGTACAGCATTTGTACCTAGCTCGTCCCCTGAAACCACGACGATCACAAAGTCTACCCCGAGCTCCTCAACTCAGAGTAGCCAGGAGACGACTGTATGCCCTCCCTTCAACTGTCACCTGGACTGTGGTTTGGATGGCTACGCTCTCGACCCAGACACAGGCTGCTTTGTTTGTGATTGCTCTGCCTATTGACGTAAAACATGAAACTGATGTAACACTGTTGCTAACAATGAGCAGTCAGTCCAAAAAAAAAGAGTTTTTCTAAGTATTCCTAAAAGTTGTCATTTAGACTAATTGCTTAAGGACTGTGAAGAAAAAAATCACGTTTTAATTTTAAGAACTGTCCGTTTTCCTCTTTAATCATGAGACCATGTACATAATATAATAGAGGCAGATTTCTCTGCACTGCCCATTTCCTACACTAGTTCATAATTTTTTTGACACTTTCTACAAAATTTTGCACGACTTCCCCTCCCTGCCAATGCGATATTGTCTGCGCATGATTGAATAAGAGGGGTACTCTTCCACAACGTCTCATTCTTCGTTTTGCGATTGCTCTGACGAGGTTACATTGTAAAAAGGGTAGAAACATGTATTGGCATAAATAAGAAGAAAGTAAAATATAAAACACACAGGCTAAAGAAGAAATCTAAACTTGCCCAAATTTGTACTGTATGTAAACGGTTAAAGAGTATGTGATACAAGTGTTACAATAATACGAATAGTAGTACTTTATCCTTGTCACCTTTTTTCTTTTCCTTATCGATGTATGGCACTCATAATAAAAACTCCTGCATTCTTTATGTGTATAAAAACCTTTGTCCTTTGTTTTCTTTACTCATTCATTAAGTTTTTTAAATGGTCTAATTTGCCAACGGTTAATAATCAGCGTATTTACGATTGAGCTCCGGATATTTCACCACCAGTAAAGAATAATTCTTTTTAAATGTTGGTGGTTTTTACGCCATCATCAACACAATCGAGAAAAGTTAAGATGTGTGCTTTGACCCTGCCTGTCAGGGCCAACCGGGACTGAGAGGGATACAACAGAAAGACGGAGATATTCAAAAGGATTTTTTAACTACTTGGGAATCGAACTCAGGTCTTCAGCATGAGCCAGCGAGGCCCCAAACGTCACGCTTCAGGAACGATTGATGCTATATAATGTAAGGAAGTGTCTACGTACTCCCCGATTGGGGTCTACGTAGTCATGGTATCTAGGTGGACCCCAAAAATGTTGGATCGTGATTGGCTCGCTGAGCGAGCGGTAGTTTACATTGGTTACAATTTACATTGCAAGGCTGCTAGGCCTACTTACTGATCATCTCGGGTAGTATGTCTATCTTCTGTTACTATAATTAATATATTTCAGCCGAGAGAGAGAGAGAGAGAGAGAGAGAGAGAGAGAGAGAGAGAGAGAGAGAGAGAGAGAGTTTTTAATGAATATAGGCCTACGTATCTAGATATAGATCTAGATCTAGATCTAGATTTTGTTGTGCGCCCAGCCAAGAGTGTGCAGTTCGGTCTAGATTTAGAATCTATATCTAGATCTATATCTAGAGATCTAGTAGTGGCCTGGTGGGCGAATGACCGAAGAGCGACTCTTGACTGCTTGCCTGTGAATTGGCGGAGACACACTAGGCCTAGGCCTATCATTCAACTTGATTCATACATGGGGACTGGACGAGAAGGCCAGATAGTGTGGCCTTCGCGGAACTGGATCTAGTCGATTCCAGGGGGCGGCCATTTTGGAAAAAATGCTAACGAAAGGCTCATGCTCTTTTACAATGTGGAAATTCCTCAATTTCAAACATCATTTTCACAAGTAAAAATAGTTTAAAAAAAAAAAATCTTGGTTATTTATATAGCCAAGAAAAAGCTATTTTGTTAAAAGTATTTGTATATTAAAGAATAATAGAAATGAAACCTCATCACACTGTGTTTGTTAACACAGGCGCCTAGGCCTATACTCATACAGCTGCCGAGGCCTACTTTAAAAAGAAAATTGATTTTCATTGGGAAATCAAAATAAAACAAAGCGATGCTCATGTATAATGCATGCCACAGGAAAGGCTAACTGGGGTAAGCTGTTAAATCCATGGATTCTGGAATGCCTAGGCCTAGGTTATAATCATTATTAGTACATCAAAGTAAGAAAAACAATAAAAAGAACAATAATACTAGACTTTATGACTATGAGTATGAGACCCCTTTAATAAAGTAGGCCTAATATTAATAAGAGAAAAGCATAAAATTGAGAGGAAGAAAAACTTAACAATTTCTTTTCTTATTACTGTACAAGTGAATGTGATGCCTGTGTTTCTGTTGTTGATGTTATAGTTCTATGCCACTCATAATATTATTATTTTGATTAAATTATCACAATATTCTTCACAAATAATATTATTCTATGACTTGAAAGATACTGTTTTTTGCAGCTTTTGTAGCTCATGTTCTGAGCCACAATTAAGTTGCTGCAGGGATGGCATTTCTCTGTCAAGTAGATCTAAATGTGGTTCTGCCTGAGCACATATGGCCACATTCCTTTTCTTGGCAGGTTTGACAGTTTCTTCAATGCTTTACTACAAATACAAAGAAGTCATCTGCAATTTACAAACATTGTATCAAACTCAAACCAACTTCATCCCACATTCAAATACAAATAATTCAAGCCCTTTTGATTCTGGTAAAGGAAACTGAAAGGGTGATGTTTAGTATTTAATTATTCAGCTGCTAAATAAGGACTGTGTTGAAAACCTTTTCATAGCTATCAAAGGAAAAAGCAGCCACATACTTCAGTGGGTACTTGCTTAGGAAAGTGTTTCCAGTCATATGTGACAAGTGTAAGACTTTGAGAAAAAGGAAGACCTAGATCTAGATCTAGATCTACATGGCCCACAAAAAATGAAGGTCTTGTAAAGCCATGTTAATTCCAGCTACTCGTAGGCCTGGTCAGAAGCAGTGGGACTGTTTGAAGCCATTAGAGCTTCTTTAATTGAGCAAAAGAAACATAGTTTATAATATTGTGTCGATGGGGGCTTAAGAAGACATTATTTTTAAAAAGAAACTAAACACCAAACAACATTTTAAAACAAAGCTACTCACACCCC